CTTGAGGGCAGCGGTCAGAAGGAACTGGCGGGATAGTCATGCCCCTCCCCTAGTCATGTGCACTGTGCCCGGCACGTGACGGGAAAGCGGGTGCGAAAATCCCTGTAGCTTTCTACAATACCGATCGGGGTTGGCACAGACGCACTATATCCCAGGGTGTGAATGCACAGATGACCACTCGAAGATCATCAGTTACAGGTAAGAAACCTGTTTTTCAGCCTTTCTATAAGTTTGATGCTGGGAAAGATTGAAGGTCAAAGAAGACGGGAACGGCAAAGGATGAGATGGTTAGACAGTGTCATAGATGCAACGAACATGAAGTTGAGCAAACTTCAGAGGACAGCGGAAGACCGGAAGACCTGGTGTGATCTGGTCCAATGGGTCACGAAGAGTCGGACTCGACTGTGCGACTGAACAACAACAACAACAAATAAGTTTGAATTCTACCTTCCATTCCAATGTATTTGAAAAAGTGTGGATGTACACGGAAGCTCATACCTTTAATAAACCTTTGATATTAAAGGTGCCGCTGGTGTCTAAATTTGTTCCACAATAAAGTAGGTAAGTGATCTCAGCAGATCTTTGGAATACATGCAGTCATCAGTTAGAAGTCTGGCCTCAGAGTTCCAGACATCCGACTCCCTGTTCCCAGAAGCATGTGGCTTTCCACATGAAGAAATAGGGTACTGGAATAGGTGGACTTTTTTGTCTGATTCAGCCAGGCTCTTTGTTTTTGGCTCACCAACTTTCGAATCTTCCTTGCAGGTTACCAAACTAGTGAAGAATTACAGGTCTCATGCTAGACTGCTTGCATTGCCATCTAAGCTCTTTTACCACAAGGAGCTAGAAGTCTGTGCTGATCCTTCAGTTACAAACTCATTGTTGGGGTGGGAGAAGTTGCCAAGGAAAGGTTTTCCACTAATTTTTCATGGAATGAGGGTACGTAAAATCCTTTTGTCCAAATAACTCATCATTGTTAAAGGATGTCAGGTACAGAAACAATATTGCCACAAGATTACGTAGACACGTTTTTTGCAGTGTATAATTTGAATAAGCAGGAATGTACATTATAGGCCTTCTCTGTAAATAAGTATCTGCAATCTTCTTTGCATTCTAAGCTTCAGAAAATCTCTTAAGCAGTTTCAGAACACTAGAGGGCAATAAAGAGGCACTATATATTTGATTCTGGCTGTTTCTTATGACCGTACTTTCTTTCAAGAAGGGTGCAGCCTACCAGAATAGCTGTAGTAACTACGGGCATGCAGGTAAAAGAGCTAATATTTTAATTTCATGTCAGTAAGCACATGCTTATCATTAGGCAAACTTAATTGTTAGTAGTAAAGGCATATGATTGCTAGCAATAGTTTCCCCACTTTAGGATAGTTTACCAGATCAGTCAAATCAGCAGAGATGAGGAACTAGTCTATAAGACTTGCCCCCAAATTGTTCAAACAGTTAAAAACTCCCTGTGGTCTACTATCTCCTTGAGACCATTTAAAACAATAAATTTTCTATTATGTATAAATGTGTCCATTACTTTACCAGATAGATTGGTTTTGTTATACTTAGATGATCTATGAGGGTGGTTAAAACAACTTATTTCCTCCATTAATATGCTTGGAGACACAAAATGAAAGACTTCCAGGGCAGTGGTCAATAAGGCCTGTCCAAAAAAAAAAACATTTCTATGAATTTGTAGCTTTCTGGACTTCAGGAATGAGGGAGATGAAGGCTGCAACAATCCCTTGGAGTTGTTTAATAGTGGAGGAGGATGTAATGGACTTTGCTTCCAGCTCTTGCAGACAGCAAATGACTAAAAACAGAAAGAGGAATCTCTCGTTAGTGCTAGTCCATTTCCACCTCTACAGTTACATCGTCACTGGTGTTGCGAGCTCCAAAACAGTACATGTGGACAGCTCAGCTTTTTCCAACACTTCCAGTGCTGGCAGATTAAAAGATTTGTACCCATGTTGTGTCTACCCCTCTGACCTCCATGACTAAGCAGTGTTTCTTTTTTCCTAGGAAGCATTATTTTGTGGCTGTTAGTGCACAATCCAAAAAGTAACACATCCCTACTTAAATTTCCTGTCTGTACTCCAAATTCTCACATAAAAACATGCAGTTCAATACAAGAAGGGCAAGGAGCATGGGGGGGAAAGCACAGCAGGGTCATTCTGAAACAAAATGAGATCTATCAACATGAAGTGCAGAAAGCTTCTCTTGTCCCCACCACTTAGTATTCCACTGTGGAGTGAATTATTTATTATGTTCAAAGACCAGCACAAAAATGCATACAGAATCAGAAATATTTGCATGAAGACCCATGTCACTGAGCTTTACTTGAGCTGCATGGGGCAGAGTGCTTCACAGGTGCCTGATCTCTGCAGAAAGATGCAAAGCCATGTTCCCACTGCAGCCCATGACAGAGAAGAGCAGATGTGGTGAACTTGCTACCTGCATCATCACTGGCAGCCTGCCTAGGCGCTCTGGGCCTGCAAACCAAATCCTCTTCCTCTGACATCCAAAGCTGCAGTGGATACCCAGACTCTTTTGCATGGTCAATTCAGTTGCAAGACATGAGAACTCTTCCTATCCATCTCCTAACCAACTAATGCCTTGTCACAACACTGTCACTGTTTCAGGAGGTGCTGTGCAGGCCGCATGAGAGTGCCCTTACCAGATGCAGCTCATAGGCTGGGTGTTTAACCCCCTTGGAATAAGGTCGCCTTGATGGTTGACTGTGCTATGGAATGTGCTTTCAAGAGCCCGTTTGCTATTGAGCTTCTGTGAGATGGTTAGATGTAGCTTTTTAAGGGGACTCTTCCTTGTCTTTATTTGTGTTGTCTAGATTTCTTAGAGTGCCATTTGTACTATAAAACTTTTTAAATTGAAGGCAAAATAAACTAGACAGACCATTATTCTGATCCAGCGTGGCTGCTCTTCTTTTGGTCTTGATAGATTGTATTTTCTACCACCTTAATGTAGGGCAATGAAATGCGTGAAGGCCACAACCCCTCTTGGTTCAATCCTACAGAAGCAGTTCAGATAGTACGTTATTGTTGCCTTCTTGCCAAAAGGATCAGCCACACAGTGTTAGAAAAAGACATTGGAGTAATTACACCTTATCGTAAGCAGGTATGGCTTGATATTGTGGGTTTTTTAATCATGTTGCTGTTGCTCTTTTGTTCGGTATTGGTGTTGTCTACCATAAACTGTCTTAAGGTCTTTTTAATGCCATATTGTGAAACATAAATGCCACAAACTTAAATAGTTGTACAGTTATAAAAGTTAAATGCAATTTTTTTCAATTAGAAGGTCTGATAAGGCACTACATTGTTGTAACATTTCCCAATTCACAGTCTGATAAAAATCAGATCTGAAGTGAGAAACTCCTCATCCTGTATATATAATTGCCCTATGTATTGGCCATTCCCAGCTCTCCCATTGGCTTTGCTGTGCACTGCATCAGCCATTGGCCCATCAACTGCCACTCAAGAGTACTTGTGTGCCATTGGTTGGGTGCTGGATCCGCTCCTCTCCCCCGCCCACTGCCAGCCTGGACACTTTTCCCTGACAGAATAAACTGCCAAAACGGCTGTCTCTCCTGACCTAAGACACTTTTCGTGCTTGGCTCCTCTGGGACTAACTTTTCCCTCATTGGCTGTTGCTAGACAACCAAGCTTGGTTTTGTCAGTAAAAAGGCAAAGGCAGGAGGCCCTTTCCAGGCCTTTGTGGGGAACTCATTCGGGCCAGTCCTGACTAGGGTTGCCAGTTCCAGATTGGGAAATTCTGAGATATTTTGTGGTGGAATCTACAGAAGCCAGAGTTTGGGGAGGGGAGAGGCCTCAGTTGAATAGAATGCCATAGAGTCCACCCTCCAAAGCAGTTATTTTCTCCATGGGGAGAGAGATCTGTTGTCTGGAGTTCAGTTGTGATATCCGGTGATCTTCAGGCTCCACCTGGAGGTTGGCTACCCTAGGTGTAGCAGTTAGCACTTCAGAGCAGGGTCTGCCAGACCCAGGTTCTTGTTGTGGAAGTTAAGTGGGTGATTTCGGACCAGTCACAGACTTTCAGCCTAAGCTACCTCACAGGGTTGTTGTGCAAATCCAAAGGGGGAGAGGAGAATGATGTGAGCTGCTTTCGTCCTCACTGTGGAGAAAGACTGTATTTTTCCTCCTGGGGATCCATTGCTGCCAGTCTCCATGTGAGGGCTGGAGATCACTCAGAATTAAAACTGCTCTCCAGATGGCAGAGATCAGCTCCCCTGGAAAAAAAGGCTGCTTTGCAGGGTGGCCTTTGTGTTGTTATACCCTGCTGAGGTTGCTTCCCTCCTGCTTGGGTCCCCACTGCAGAGAAAGACTGTACTTTTCCTAAGTAAAGGCTGTAGGTGGGGGGGGGGGTGGAAAGCTGAAGTCAGAGGGGCAGGTA